CCAACTTTCAAAGTTCCAGTGTGAGACATATTCTAGGCCATACAGCGCTATGGAAGAAAGTGCACTTGTATAAATAAATAATATCACCAAATTTATAACAATAAAATTCAAATCATAATACATCACCTTGTATAATTTTTAGAAAGGCTTTAAGCACTGAAAATGTTTACTCATAAAAAAAACAACACACTCATGAAAATATATATTTTTTTAAACTACACAAAAAAACACAACCAATAAAACACTAGATATAAACCTTAGAAATAAAACATTACCAATATATCTTTGAGCTGTCAGTGTGACGAGGCTCCGCCACCAGTTAACTTGAGTTTTATTCTCCATGCTTGTGTAGATATTTGAAGGATTCCCCATCAGCTCAAAGCCCAGATACAGTTCATTCTCATGGGCAAGTGAGACAAACTCATCAAGCTGGGAAAAGTCATAAACTGGTCCATCTTCTGAAATCCTGCAATGTAAGCCATGTTAATCCATATTGAGTTTAATCACAGCCATTACAAACTGTATGTTGTTGAAACATTTATTAGTTTGAATAAGACCCTTCCATTCAATAGAAAAATATCAACAATTTTGACAAATAACAAGTACAAAAAATATAGCCTATGCATCAAATTTAAAATTCACCATTGATATTAAAAAATACACTATTTAAAAATATTTATGTAACAGCATACAAATATCCTTAATAGAAACTCACTTGATGACTTGGACAAGTTCAAAAAGCCAATGAACTCTCACTTGGGAAATGCCATTGAAGGGGACAGCACCAATGTAAGCAAGATTTTGTTTCATGTCAGAACTCAGATCAAATTCTCCGGCATCTTTGTGTGGTTCTGGGGGACTAGGATTATTTAATTGCATGTGAATATATTTTTTCCATCTTATTGACTTATATTCAAGGAAATATGATGCACATAGTAGGTGAAGATTTGAAAAAAGGTTCAAATATATTTATATATAACTTTTTTTTAAAAGAAGAGTTTAGATGCACTAAAAAGTAGAAAACAATTTTCTTTAAATTCCAAAGAAATTATGGAAGAAGGCTAGTAAGGCTTACAAGATGCTTAATAAGCATGTAAAAAAGCACAGTAACATCCCAAAATCATACAGTTAGGAACAATGGTTATTGTAAGTGAAGGTGCAATACAATGCCCTCTCTCAAGCTGTAACTCTGTGTCATCAACTTAGGTGCGATCTCACAAGGAAGACTGAATCGACCAAACAAGAGAGTCAAGCGTGTCAACAAAAAAATTACATTGAACAAACAAGATGGAAATGCAAGTAGAAAGAAAGTCTTTAAGAACAACAAACAAGTATATCAAAAGTCTTACTTACTGCCAGTGTATTCAAATATTTTTAATGCCTTATTTTGTTAGAAAAAGTATGTTTTTGGGCAAAAAGTTTTTTTTTTTCCTTCAATCTTTCACATACAACCTGCTTCTTATTTTCTTATACACAGCTTAATTGAGGTCTCTCTATAAGGTATTATCACATGATATCATATGAAATGGTTTAAGTCATTACCAAAATCCTGTACTTTTCCAAAAATGACTAAGCTGCCCTCGAACATCAGATGAATTCAGAAAAATATTTAAGTCAAACCCAGGGTCTGACAAAGCCGGGGAGCACAGAAAGGTAAGAAGAAAAGCTCCTATAGTCTCTGGATACTCGAACATTTTGAAAGCAGCCACAAACATTTCCTCAAAAGATTTCAAAAAACTGTCATCCTTAGAAAATTCAAGTTCCTGAAAATAATATGAAAATAAATAAACATTTTAGTTTAGTTTATTTATTTGCGCAAAAATAATGTCGATCACATAAATTTTTAACTAGTTTCTATTTCTTGTTGTATTTTTGCCCTGTATGCTGATGAAGACTCTTAGCCGAAACTTTCACATCTTATTGTCCCGTCTTTTGATTCAAGCTCCCACATACCCTTTTCTACTATTTCCTTCACACAGCTTGAATGCAGTCCTTCATTTATTATTATTAAGTTCAATTAGATAGGCCTAAGATTATGTAACAATAGCTAATTCTATGTGGGCCTAAGATTATTTTACTATAACTAAGCCTATGTGTGCCAAAAAGCTCTATTTGTTTATGACAATCTAATAAGAACTCTTTAATGAGCCAAAAGGTTTCATTTCATATGGGCATATTTAGTAATTAGCATCATTATTCAAATTTGTGCATTAAAATTAAAGATGATAAATAAAATGTCTAAAAATCATGATTCTTTTTCAGTTAACTTCTAGTTAACAAAAATGTTCCCAAACTGCCTAAAGTGTTCTTTCACTTCGTTGTTTTGTTGCATTCCTTTTTTGAGGTTTTACCTTACTTTGTTTTACTAGTTACCTACATAGTAAAAGAAGCGGAGCGGCTTAATGTGCTAAAAATTAACCCTGCGATGAAATAAGTGGATCAAGGGGTTATACTTAGGTATGGTGTGGGGGAAAGTTGGGGGGGGGGGGGATTCTTGGTAGAAAGGGGTACATTTATACATTCATTCTGCAATAATTATTTGAAATTTTGACAATTTATACTTTTTTATCATAAATAAAGCCAGCTGTTACCTAAAAATCTGTTAAAGGGGGGGGGGGGATTCTTGGTAGAAAGTGGTACATTTATACATTCATTCTGCAATAATTATTTGAAATTTTGACAATTTATACTTTTTTATCATCAATAAAGCCAGCTGTTACCTAAAAATCTGTTAAATATAGGGCTTTTAGTTATTTTCAAAAAGTTTATAAAATATCACCACCGTGTTTAGTAGTTATCTTCATATTAAATTACTGATGATCTGTGTTTCCATAAACAATTCTCTAACTAAATTATATCAAAAAAGTATTATTTAGCTGTCAGCCTAGTGACTTTCTGTAGTACATAATTTTTGAATAAATTATTTGCAACGGCTGAAACAAACAGTTCCCCAAATATTTTTTTCCCACTCCCTACCTAAATATATTAAAGATGACTCCATGAGTCCATGCTGTGTTAAGAAGACTGAATTTTGTATATCTTTTTTTTTTATTTTTTAGGCTTTAACTTTAAGACTTTAACTTTAACTTGACTTTAGTTACTTTAACTTTAACTTTACTTTAAGTTACTTTAACTTTTAACTTCATATTCATTGTTCAAGATAAAACGTACAAATTGTAAGATAAAATATGATATCAATGCAGATGAATAACTTGAAAAGAATACCCTCTTTTAAAATTAAACCCCACGTCCACCCTTTTGAAACTTAGATATCACTTTACTGCACAATTAAGAAACACTCAAATCACATCATTGTTTTGTTTACTTCTCTTTGGCATTGGTCTTATTTTAAGTAATGAAGAAACAAAAGGAATAAGGGGGGGCGTACTTCCGGAAATCTCCACTTACCGAGATATGCAATTAAAACGAGATAACTTAGAAATCACTCGAAAATGTACTTTAAAGCACTTTTAGTTCTTTTGTAGGTGTATTTTACCTTTCAATTACGACACAATTTTAAACAAGTTTCCTGTTTTTACTCATAAGTTTCATGAAATATCCTATTAAGATTAAAAATGTGTATGTTAATATATATTTGTTTCTGTTTTTATGTAAAATAAAATAATGTATTATTTAATCATTTAATCAAATATATATTCACAAACTAATAATGATGATGAATACAGCACCAAGTATAATAAAAAGAGTTTAAGTAAATTCAGTATGACTTGTGAAGAGACAGCTGTGTAAATTATGCAGTGAGTAAATTTTGAAAACTTAAATTACTTAATAAGAAATAAGTAAATAGGCCTAAGTCTAAGCCAAAGGGTAGTAAGAGGAGAGACTGCAATCAGGTTAGCACAATATAAAATGAGTAAAACAAAATAGGGTTAAACCTGAAAAAAGGAAAGCAACAAAACAACGAACTTGTCGGCAGGAAGCCTTCGTCAGCGAACAAAACAACAGAAAAAACAGTAGAAAATATAAAATTTAGCTCTTAACTTAGAAGTAGTAAATGTCGGCAGCAAATGAATTGCGACATAAAGTAAGTGAGTGAGAGATTAAATAGGGAGGAGGGAAAGAAAAGAGGAGAAGTAAGTCCCTTGCGATAGGTCGGGGCGTGGAGGGACGGAGCTAGGTTCAAGCTGTGAAAATAGACATGGCGTTCATACCATGTGGCGTCAAAGTGCCATAAGTCAGGATAAGCCTGTGTTCCAAATTCACCTGGCTGGGTGTGTTCGTGCTGGCCACGATCGCACTTATTGAAAAGTCGGCCTTGCCCTGGTGGTCGCTACTATTGAAGTGTTTGGGGACGGGACTCTGTTTATCTTGTGTAATGTTACGGAGGTATTCGGTACACCTGTCGGAGAGTATGTTGTCCAATCTCCCCTATGTACGTCATCTGGCAGTGGGTGCAGACAATGGCATAGACAACGTTGTGGCTTGTACAAAGGTAACCGTCGCGCATCTGAAAACTGCCCTTAGGGAAGCGTACGTGTTTAACCCTACTTTCTTTTACTAATTTTATATAATCTAAGCCAATGCATGTTTAAAAATATATTATCCATATTTATTGATGATCCAGGGTGCCCTATAACTTCAGGTTCCAGTATACCCCTACTTATGTTTCCACCTTTTTAAATCTATTTTTACTGCTTTCTTATGTTTTGCTTTTTCCTGTTAGTTTTAGTCATATTTCAGACCCTTTTCACCCGCCCCACCCCCCCCCCCCCCCCCCCTCCCACAAAAAAAAAATTTTTGCAGCACCAACTTATATTTAAAATATACTCCTTCCTGCAAAAACAATAAATATTTCAGTCATTGATAAAATAAGTTATTTTTATTTCAAAATGCCAGGCAAAATTATAATTTTAAAGTGTCTGATAAATTGTGATCCCCTCTACCCATCCACATACTACTTGGAAGGCATGTTTTTCAAATTTGGACTACAACCTGAATAAAATGAACAAAAGTCTCAACTATCCTTTGGAAGGCATGGTCATAGGATAACACTTTTATTACTCATTGTTGACATTTCTGTTTTTAAAGGTTAATACATAAATTGTTATTAGATAAAATATTAAATGTAATTATTTGAAAATTTCATAGTAATCAAAGGCCTACATATATTGTTATTAGATAAATTATTAAATGTAATTATTGCTATTGAATTTTAAAATTAAAAGTATGGGTGGACAATTTAATGTCATGGTCAGTTATGTTGAGATAGCATTTCCAATATCTGGTGGAATTATTGGCAATACCCCTAATCCCATTTTTAATTAACACAATATATAGTTCTGTGTCCACCTATAAATAAGTATGAACAAAATTAAAATTATTTAGTTTTATTACCTGTAAATTAAAAATAATATTGTAGACCATTTTCAAACTTAACTGTACTTTATTCAGCTAAAGATCTACAAAACAATTAAGACGGCAGGTACCTTACATTAACTGGCTGTGATTAGTTTAAAATTTACCTAATTTCATACATTAAATAATTAAATTAAATATTATGTTCAGCAAAATAATGACAAGACACCAAGGTTTAATGTTTGTGAACCCAGTGGAAATTTAATTTAATAAAAATTGGTGTTTGTGCATCAGTGAGTACAACAGCTTATTGGAACATTCAATCATTAATAATCATATATTATTTGAAGGGCTGGCAAGAGGTGGTGGGGTAGGGATGGAAGAAATGCCTGTTGACTTGAAAAATAATCTGCATGACCGACCCCAGTTACAATTTGAGTCTAATCTTAATTTATTTGTTTTTTACTTTGGGAATTAGTTAAAACTACTTTTATGTTGTTTTTAACTATCCGACCAAAAATACTGTTATCCCAGTCCCATGCATGCTCTCATCTCATTGGCTCTGTGTGTGTCTACATTCACAGTGGTAAACAAATTTCATTACAAGAGTGTGTTCATGTAAATTACATAATCTGCTGCATACCAAGTATTTCAACTTTATACACATACCTTAAAATAAGATATATTGTGTTACAGTTACATTTAAATGCCATATGTGCCAATAAACTCAATGACAGATTTAGATGACAAAAATTGTCCGCTTTCAGTAGCAACATTTGTGGGAATAATGAGTATGATGAGTATTTTAAACATAGAAAGTTACATTATCTGAAAGCTTTTGATTTTACTGAAACAAATGGTGGCAACCATTTCAACCAAGGCAGTAGAGTCAGAGTCAAGGAGAAAAAGTTGGAATTTCTTTACCAGAATATACAACTTAAGTGAGAGTGAATAAATTAATGTGCCAGCCCCTTTACTTTTTTTTTTTAAATTCAAGATGTAGAATTGGAGCAGGAAAATTCAGTTTAAAAAAAAAGTGAATTGGAATTATAATTGACAATTTCTACAGGACATTAAAGATGCCTTATAATAATAGCATTTTCAACAGCATATGCCTGTGTGACTTTTTTTGTGTGCCTGTGTGACTTTTTACAAAGTTTCCTTTCAAGATAAATTATTGTAATAAATGAAACCCATCAATATAAGATATATTATAATAAATAGACAGTAACTGTTAGTTATTATTTTTAAAAAATCCATATGTGCACATTGGAAACAAAAACATTTACTATTTAAGAGAACCAATCTATATGTGCACGATGGAAAAATAAAAACTTTTACACTGCTATTTTAGTGGATTTTAGATGCCATACGAGATAAATGACTCACCATATGTTAAAGATATTTTTTATTAGAGAAATTTTGTGTGAGTTTCATATTCATAAAGGTAAATGGTGTCCTTATTTCGCTAACTTAAACTTGAGCCAAAAAAAGCTTTTTTTCCTAACCTTGTCAATCCAACTCTCTGATTCTGACACAGCAGCCCTGCTTAGAACAGCATTTACAAGACACAATAAAAAATAATTTAAAATGAATATGCAAGTGAATCTACAAAGTAATGGCTTCAAAGAAATAAATACATAAAAAACATGGCAGTGAAAAGGATAGAAAAAAAATCTAATTTAAAAAAAAATAACATACAAAGTAATGAAGTATCATTTTGGTTTTTTTTATGTTTTCTATATAGCAAAGTACATGTTTTTTTAATATTATGGCATTATATTTTTGTAATAAAACTGCGGAATGATTCTTTTAAGAAATTCAGTTATTAACTCATTATCTTTAAACAGATATGATGGACCATAGCTCACCCAGAGATTGTTGTGGAAGTATAGGGGGATCATAATACAAACAGCTAGTTGTTACATTGTTATTCAGCTTCAGAATATTTCTTTGTTATATCACAGTAAATAAAAGTAAGTTTTCCAGCAATATCTAAGGGAAAAGCAATATTAAATAAATATTAAAACTATGATCTCCTATTAATAATTTAATTTATTTTTTAATTTTATAAATGACAAAGGTGACTCCATTGAATTATAGGGAGCCATTTTTTTTTTTTTTGGGGGAGAGGCAATCCATTTCATAATTTTATTGTAACACTTGAACAATTCATCTCTATTATTTTATATGATCCTTTTTACAGGCAATAAATTAGTAGGGCTTTTAAAGTTAAACAAAATATTCAGTTAACAGTGGAAAATTAATTTAAATGACTAGGGTTAGAAGCATGGATGTGTTACCACAGTGCAAATGGCAAAAGTAGCTTATTTATATTACAGAAAGAAAGACAGAAACAAAAAACATAAAAGCGCAATAGGAATGTAAACTGTAATTAAAATAAAAATATTAGAATCAATGATTATATAGTCAATCATCACTTTACAAACATAGATGTATCATAGCAATTTATATGTGCAATGATAAGAGTGCAAAACGCCTACTATCAGGAATGATTATGAGAGAAATAAAGTCCCTAGTATTATGACTACTAACAAAATGAGATTTACAATATTTTCATAAGAAACAAAAGAAACCTGAAAACATAAAACAGCCCTTAATTATTTCAATAAATTCATTACTCTTTTTTGTGCAGAGTTAATAAAAAGACAAGAACTGCAACTCAGAGGCTTAAAGGTTGTCTTTTTTTTCTTTGAACCTCCATCTATGGGGAAAACTGGAATTTTATAATATTTGGATGGTGACTTTGCATAAGGCAGTGATGTGCACCCAGGGTTGCTAGGTGTTGTGTTGCTTCGTTGTTCATCTTAAATCTTTTGGTTGAGGGGGTCAAGTTGTTCTAGTGTGAAGTCGTCAGTTCCAAATGACAGTCCTCTTCTGAAACCAGCCTGTAGGATTTCAATGAAATAAATGATGTGTGAAATGTTTGATATATCAAAAGGATGGGGACACAAAGTGCCAAGACACACAAAGAGGCAAGACATACAAGGAAGCAAGACACACAAGAAGGCAAGACACACAAGAAGGCATTCATCAGTTTGGAAAGTTGGGGACACAACTAAAGATGACCATATATCTTAGCTGAGGTTCTAATGTTGAAACTTACATGGAGACAGATATGTGAAAGGGTACTACAGACATAGAATAATAATTCTATGCCATCTAAGAGGTCACAAGTTGGGATTAGGGCCCAGCATTAAAATAACTACCGGTAAAATCCACACTTTATTGGTGATATTAGGCCTACCTGGATATCTTTAAATTCTCTGTCCAGTTGACCTGATGTAGGATTAAATTCTCCCATGCCAAACGGATCTATGCTTGAGTCACCTATTGCGAATGGATCATTGTCTGCAATAAAGTTAGAATATAGGTGTGTTGAGAATTTAGGGATTCAAAGGGAAAAGCAGGCACATCAAGGAAGGTAATGTAGCAGATTCATGTATCATGGTATGTAATTTAGTAGATTTACTTGTATTTATTTACGTCATGTTTTATGCCACTGAAAAATGTATATCTAGCAAAAGTTCTAATGTTGTATATTTTTCTATAAGAAGCTTTGATCACATATAAATCTTGAGAAGATTTGAATTTATGTATGTTGTATGTGTTCTTGTTAGTCCACTTCTCTTTAAGAACATTAAACTGACAGAAAATAAAAGCAAGCATGGTATTGGCATACAAATAAAACATTTCTTACTCAATGCTGGACTGACAGGCGATGTAGGTGATCTCAAGCTGTTGGCTCTGTTAGACCTCGTGTTACTTGGAGGGGGGCTTACTGAAATCATTTAAATCATGAAGCCAAATCATCTTTTCCATATCAATAAGTAACTAAACCATAGACTAAAAAATGATCAGAGATGGAAATGACTTCACTTACATATTGGTGTACCCTGTGATGTGGTCAAGTTGTTGCTGGGCTGTGCACTGTTAGTTTTATGTGATGGGGAATGATTAACAGGTGTGTGAAGCATCAAGTTTTCTAGTCTTCTTCCAACCACATTTGTCTGACTTGCTGGCTGTAGATGAGACAGTTGAATTGATTCTGTTTTACTTATGTTACATTTCGATCTCCTTTATCATTCTGTACGGGTCATGGCATCTGCTATTTACTTTATAGTAATTATGTACATAATGCATTTATTACGCACATGCATATCAAAATAAGTTCTCGGCTATTTATTTATATTTGGATATTGGTAATGTTTTAGAAAGGAAATCATTATTTTAATAAATAATTACTTCATTCACACATTTTATTTAGCAGAAATATATTTTCAGACATCTCAGCAGAATTAAGCATTTTTTAAAATTTTTAATTAATTTTCCTTTATTATTATTATAAGTGGTTTTATATAGCATGGTACACTAGCCTAGGGCTGGTCTCACCATGCTGTACATAAAATTTAACAAACATAATCAAAAACTTAAAAAATTAGTTAATATACATTAATTAAATAAAACAAAACAAATGTATATTTAAAACTATTTAGATGTCAAGCCATGGACGACATCCAGCAGCATCGTTCTTCAGTCAGAGGTGGGAATCAGTCAGGATAGTAGTAGAGTTTAAAAAGATGTGTTTTGAGTGCAGTTTTGAATCAGGCCTTATCAGAGTTTATTAATAGCCTCGCATGCTGCTGACAAGCCCTAGTGTATCTGTCTGTATTTTTTATGTAACACAGAGATTTTTAGTGTCAAGTTGACATTTATAATTTCATTGTCAAGTTAAAAGACTTAGGCTGTTAGTATCAAGTTGATATACTGTCATTGTAGAGTTGATATAAAGATAGGCTTACTGTCTGAGTCAAGTTTATATGCATAAACCAGCAGTGTCAAGTACCTTGGTAGGAGTTGATGGGTGTTCATCATCGTCTGTGGAACTCTCACGTAAAGAAAGTGATACTTTTTGAAGATCTGTTATCTGTTACCATGGCAAAAGTGAGATAAATACAAATTTAAAAGTTTAAACTAATTTTAAATTTTTAATTTTCAAAGCTAAAAACTATTAATAGCAGATTTTAAATGAAGAAACCTATTCCTTTCAACCATCTAAGGAAAAACATTTAAAAATTTTAAAAAATTGGATTTCAGCAATAAAAGTGATAAAACAATATGCAAATTAATAAAGAAACAAGTAATCTCATGGAAAATCTATTGTAATGTGACAGAAAATTGTGTCTAGATTAAATATTATGAGACCAGCACCACGAATCTCACAATTTAAATCGATGATCTTAATCCCTATTCATCAAGCTCAGCTCTGAAGGTTTGTCTGGAAGATCATCCATCTATTACAAATACTTTATAGAGTGACCATTGTAATGACAAAACTGCTTTAATTTTTTTTTTCAAAATTAGAAATAACAATATACTGTGTGTAAAATAATGACCTGATTCTTTCTCTTGTAGGCATCAATATCTGACCGGTCCTTTAACTTTTCAACCTCCTCCAAACGTTTACGCAGTGTGTCATTCTCAAACTGTAAAGTTTGTACCTAATAATACATAGAGGTAAACAGTTGATTTACAATCAAATCAATCACAAAAAGAAATTTACAAAAACCAGATTTGATATGAGGGGAAAAAATGATGTCATTCATTTTTGGGATCATCCAAATGTTCTTAATGAAAGCGTCAGCTTTTACATTTATTTTTGTTAAATAATTTATTGAAATCAATGTTTATAAATATAGAGTTGGTCAAGCTCAAATAACAGGATATTTTCTTTATATTTTAATGTCTGTGACTCTGGTTATAAACGAGATGTCTGACATGCACATTTGTCACCACTTTGTTCACAACGTGAACACGGAATGTAAGAACAATGTGTCCTGGATTTGACACTGACCTACAACAGATTGATGAACTGAGAAATATCGTCGTTATTGACAAGGCACTCAGCAGACCTAATATAGACATTGCGTCCCTCTAAGAGACCAGGCTGGTCGCTAGCCTTATCAAAGAACAAAGTACACATTCTACAGGGAGGGGAAACCCATAGACAAACCCAGGCATATAAAAACACACCAGTGACCTGCACTGAGCCTCTATCATTGCGATCAGAAAGGATTCTCTGCCTGCGGATGTCATCAGTTGCAGGCAAGGTCAACATATTCAGTGTGTTAAGTCCAACACTAGACCATGAATTATCCTGAACAAGAAACCTGGCTTTTATGCCTTGGTTATCAGGGATTAAGATGGATTAATCGTAACAGTCAACAATCCATTCCAGGATTAGCTTCATAAGCCATTGGATGAAGCGCCAATAAGCTACTCTATCATCTTGCCAAGACGGGGGGATGCCATATATAGATGAATAGATACAGTGACAGTAGATAGATAGATAGATATATTTTAATGCTTGATTTTTTGGATTAATATTTCTTGGCTAAGGTTTACTGAAGAGTTGGTAGGGGCAGTGGAGTAGCCAGTGGTGGGATCAAAAGATTTGGCTGATCTCCCCATCTATTTACAATCCCCAAAGCTCCTCATCAAGCACTTCACCTAGTTTCTAATATAAGCCACTTTGAATGTACAGTAACTCATTGCTGAAGCTTTAAATGGTGAGTTGCAAATCCCATCTACATGCATAGGAGCCAAAATTATCAATAAATTGATCGTGGGCCCTTAAGATATAGAAGAAGAAGAAGAGTTGGGGGGGGGGGTTAAGGTGAGCAAATGCTCTACACTTCCTAAATTTTAACTTACAAAATAATCAGACCCTCAATGTACTCCAAAATGAAATTCCACAAAAAGTGCAGCCCCTGGGGCTGTACAGCCTCATCTGTTTATGCTAGAGGGGATGAGGAGGCAGATGATATTCAGCAGAGATAAAAACCCTGCATGTTCTCCTTACCTTCTTCTGTAGTGTTAAAAGTTGTTTCCTCACATCAACATCCGTGGTAGACGAGTCTAGAAAACGTTTGTATGCCAGATCAAAAGCTTGTCCAATTGTAAGGGTTATCTCCTCTGCCTTGAGGGGGGGAAAAACTCATTCTTTAAAATCCATACAAAGTAGCCTACTCCTAGTCATTTTACCAAGGAAACAAACGTGCATCTTTAATTTAAAATAATATTTTTAAGTGTTAAATAATTCCTACAGTTTCTTAGAAATATGAACATGTAAATTTAGCATAAAAGTATCAACAAAATTATGAATATTTTTTCAACCTACACATCTTTCACTGTCAAATACATAACAAAAATGTTGGTTGCCATTGGCCTCTTTAGCAATAAATGTGAACATTCTCTTGTCTGACTTGTCATCCGCACAGTAGGAGATTCTGTGTAGAGGGTATTGGTGAATTATGGTCTGTGGGGAAATGAAACATCTTTTTTAAATAGATTTTTTTGTTGAGGATCTGTCAATAACAAGAACGTAGAGGCCTGTAGAAAATTATAATGAATTATAAATAATGACATGACAGCAAAGCTGTCTACATATTATTATCTTAATCTTAATTTGCATTGTTCTACCTTATTTAGGCTATTTCTTAATTTTTTTTTAAAAACATTAAACTTTTTAACAAACTATTTAAACAAAATCTGTGAATATCTTGGCCCCAATCATTGGTACCGTTAAAGGTTTTTTCTATTTAAAGATACATTTTTTGACAACTTTAGACATAAGCGTGAAAGTTTATCAAGTCCCTACCCATCTCAATCATTCTTATTGGTATTGTTAGTCATATATTTTTTAAGCCTGACCCCTGCAACCTGGCCTTGAACTTAGACCTACCCTTGATTTAGGATCCAGCACAGTCACAGCATCAGCAGAGATGAGGAGCTCAACTTTAGGTGGCTTCTGTCCTTCAGCCCTTTTCAGGTGTTTGTTGAACTGGGAGATAGAAAGGTCAGAATTCAAGATTACATTTTTTTTTTTAAACACTGAGTCATAATATAAACAGTCAATCATCATAAACTTGACTTAGGTCAAGAAATGAAATCTATGTTTCAACACACCCACACATGTAAGCATGCACGCAGACACTCATAAAATTGTTGTCATAAATTTCTGATTCTCCTAAAAATAATTAATTTCTCTAAAAACTCCAAAGACAATTTTAAGAATATCATTTGTCATATAGAATGACTGATATCATCATATAAAATGGATGATAATGTCATATATATATATATATAATGACCGATGTGATATATGATAATGTCATATAGAAGAAAGAAAAATAGCTGAATATGTCTTGAGTAATTCAGTCACCTTCATTTTCCTGATGGCATCTCTCACAACTTCTGTTCCTTTGGGTTGGTCAACCATACATTCGCCAAGAAACTAAAAATAAATATTTCTTTAGTCAGCATCACAACAAGACTAATTCCTTTTATCTCTTCTTCAAATATTCTTATGTCTTAGTAGATCAAATCCTACATGTTTCTGTTACAGTAGATCAAATATAAATGCTACTGTAACAGTAGATCTTATATATATGTTTCTGTAACAGCAGATCAAATATAAATGCTTCTGTAACAGTAGATCTTATATATATGTTTCTGTAACAGCAGATCAAATATAAATGCTTCTGTAACAGTAGATCTTATATATATGTTTCTGTAACAGCAGATCAAATATAAATTCTTCTGTAACAGTGGATGTAATATATATGGTTCTTTAACAGTAGATCTAATATAAATGCTTCTGTTACAGTAGATCTAATATAAATTGTTTTGTATAACAATTTAATATAAACTGATAATAATCAAGATAAAGCTGAATAACATCTTGACTTACTTTGATTGTGTAGAGAATGTGACCAGTCAGGAGGGCGTCTGATGGATGAGGCCATTGTTTGTTACCTGTGACGTTGACATGAGATTTAGTGGTCAGTTTAATAAGAGATATTGGACATTGGTCAGTAAAGGTAATAAATAGATGTGAACAAGTTTCACTAACAACTTGTATAGTGATCAGTCACCCTTTAATGCAGCAGTTCTCAACCTGTGGGTGACGACCCCTTTGTGGGGTCGAACGACCCTTACGCAGGGGTCGCCTAAGACCGTCAGGAAACACATATCTATGAAGTAGAAATGAGAATAATTTATGGTGAGAGCATCACCACAACATGAGGAACTGTATTAAGGGGTCATGGCATCAGGAGGGTTGAGAACCACTGCTGTAATGCAAAACGTGGTAAAAAAATAACTTTGAATAGCGTTAGCTTCAAGCTAAACAAACCTTTTTTTGGCATGTTTTCTTTGTTTATTGAAACCAGTCAATCATGATTTATTCCATTTTGAAGACCACTAATTTCACAGAAAACATTACTAATGATTCCACCATGAAAAGCACTGTTTTAAATGTCAGCATGTCCGAACACATTTAAGTCAGATTTATAGAAATCTAATTAAACTTTGGATTAAAAAATGTTTCACTTTGAAATAATTTTCAAAAAAGATTTTTTCCAGATTTAAATTTCTCTCTCGCACCCTTCTCCCTCACCACCCCACACCCACACAATCATGCACCTACCCACCCCATCCTTCCATATTTTTTTTTAAAACCAACAATAAAAAAAAATACATATAAATATTGAGAGACCGAGAGAGAGAGAAATTAAACGGTTCAATAAGGAATGAAGTCTGCGGTGGCTTGTCGATTAGGAGGCGTCGGCCACCGACCCCCTCGACGTTACCCGGGGAACACAACTACTGGGCGCGTCCTGCGTGGGCAGACAAGGGATGTGCTCGTTACCTGCTGTACATAAAACAGCTCCTACAGGGCTGCCAGTTGTGATATTTCCCAACTGAAACAATAGGCAGAGACAGGGTAGGGATCATGGTTAAAAGTTGCCGTTAATGGATATGAGGCGAGAGGCGAAGGTGGTAACCTCTGGCCGATGATTCTTACTACGCAGACCTGAGAAGCTGCTCCAAGGCAACCGTTTCGTCCCAGCTGCATCGCGAATTAGTTGCGTTGTGGAAACCCACTGTAGAATCCCTCTTATAGGGCGTCTAACGCTTCCCCGGGATGGGTGGGGGAAGATATTAGGACGCACATTTGTCCATCCCGACTCCTGAGAAAGTCGATCGTGTGCACTGTGTTCAAACACAGTGTCGGGCCGACCGGGTGTCTTTGGGTTAGGACGGCCCCCGGCTGAGACCCTGGTCGAGCAGACTCGGGTGGGGGCTGTCCTGACAAAGGGACATCCCCGACGTGCCACTCCGCGGCCCGATACCGGGTTAAGGAGGGGTATTTTGGGGAGGGCATAAAGAGCGCAAGCTCGACGGCCCGCTGACGCCATTTCTTAATGTAACACTAAGGAATGATAACTGAGCCTACATTTATTTAGAATTTTCTTTTAATCGTTTCCCTTGAATATCCTCGTTTCGTCGGTTTGTATTTTTAATCCCCTTTTAAGATTTTTGTTCCGGTTGCTTTTTTCCCAAATGTTCGTCATCCTTTTCGTTAGAAAAAAAAGGGGGGGGGGGGGGAAGATGACGACACAGCAATAAAACGTCATCCTATTTCTGTCGTCTGCCTTCCATCAAATCTTTGATTGGGTATATCAGAAATGCCGCACGTTACGCGGAAATATAATGGCCGTGAAGAAAAAACGATAAGCTTTAACTTTAAAGTTCAATGAGTTTTTTTTCCCCCCCATTCAAAGTCGATATGGGTTACAAAATAGGATAGTGGAGGAGTGGAACCGTACATGAGTGGGGTGTTGGAGGTGGGTGGGGTGGTGGGGGCGTCGGTTGATTTGAGCGCCAAATGTTACAAAAAGTCTTTTTTTAAAATATTATTTCCAGCACTGGCATATGTAGTTTATTATAACAACGCCAGGGAACGGGTTCAGATCATCCAATGGAATACTCATGCTGTTGTTTGATGACATTCCCGCCGTAAGAATAACACGACCCACTCCGACTGCCCGGGGAACTCGCGGGTCATAGAGCTGTTTATAATCATAAGCCCATACAATTGTTTTCTTGGTAGGGCTGTATATAATCATTTTATATTGTTTTGTAGGCGTGATAACATACCAACAATATCTCTTGGCGATAGGGAGTCAAGGGGGTCTCAAATCTGAAAAAACGATATCTAGTCAGGGAGTCTCAGATGTCAAAAACATCTCTTAACGATATCTAGTCAGAGAGTCTCAAATCCCTACAACATCTCTTGACGATAGCAAGCCCATGAATCTCAAATGTCAACAATATTAATCAGGGAGTCTAACATTTTTGAAACATTACTTCTTCTTCTTCTTATATTTGAGGGGCCCACGATCAATTTGTTGATCATTCTGGCTCCTGATTTAAATTCAGAGTTTGCATTCTCTTGGATGGGTTGCCTTCTCTTAGATGGGTTGCCGTCCAAGGCTAACGAGTCCCATGCCTTCTCTTAGATGGGTTGCCGTCCAAAGCTAACGAGTCCCCTCCACCCGGTGTGCTTGAGATGTTGGTGCTTTTGTGGAGATTGAACTCCAGACCACCAGCTATTTGGTTTGAGACAGTTTAGACCGCTCGGCCACCCAACACCTCACTACTTCCTTATAACGAGTCAGGGAATCTCAAATGTCAACACCACGAGGGTAGCGACTCGGCGAATAAACAAAATAACTTGACTAAAGCACTTGATTAAAGGAGTCTCAGATTATGTGCTACAATATTATATGGAAACATAAGGATAAAAAGGAGAAGTGGTTAATGGAATTTTTGTTCAACAGAGGGCACCAATAGGTATCTTAAAATAAAGGAGGCACCAGCGACTATTATTAAATAAAGGGGAAAACCAATGATTATCTTTAAATAATGAAGTCAACAGATATTAATATTGAAATAAAGGGGCAACCGATGATTATCTTGATATAAACGAGGTGAGACACGCTGTTAAGAAACTGATGCTAATAACACAACAGTAAACAACACATTCTTTTATCAAGGAAAAGTTTCCATGCTTCAGAAAACTTGGGGAAGGAAAAAAAAAAGGGGGGGGGGGCACCATTAGGCAAGAGGACGGAGACCACAACCTCCCGCCAAAATCTTACTACAAGAGCATTACTGGAGATTTCCCGGATTTTAAAAAGGAAAAGTTTCCATGCTTCAGAAAACTTGGGGAAGGAAAAAAAAAAGGGGGGGGGGGCACCATTAGGCAATAGGACGGAGACCACAACCTCCCGCCAAAATCTTACTACAAGAGCATTACTTGAGATTTCCCGGGATGCGAGGCCAGATGGTCATTATTATTTTTATTATTATTTGAGTGGTCTTATATGACGCGGTCCCCAGCCTAGGGCTAGGCTCACCGCGCTTCACCTAATCATAAAGTAGCAAAACGAAACATGAGATTAAAATAACAGCTACGCAAAATTATTCATTTATAAACACCTGTTCTCAGTGAAAGAAAAACTCTTGTACTTATTACAGCATTATCGAAATGTCCACTCTTATCACTACACAAAGAAATGTCCACTCTTATCACTACAGAAAGAAATGTCCACTCTTATCACTACACAAAGAAATGTACACTCTTATCACTACACAAAGAAATGTACACTCTCATCACTACACAAAGAAATGTCCACTCTTATCACTACACAAAGAAATGTCCACTCTCATCACTACACAAAGAAATGTCCACTCTCATCACTACACAAAGAAATGTCCACTCTTATCACTACACAAAGAAATGCCCACTCTCATCACTACACAAAGAAATGTCCACTCTTATCACTACACAAAGAAATGTACACTCTCATCACTACAAAAAGAAATGTCCTCTCTTATCACTACACAAAGAAATGTCCACTCTTATCACTACACAAAGAAATGTCCACTCTTATCACTACACAAAGAAATGTACACTCTCATCACTACACAAAGAAATGTCCACTCTCATCACTACACAAAGAAATGTCCACTCTCATCACTACACAAAGAAATGTCCTCTCTTATCACTACACAAAGAAATGCCCACTCTCATCACTACACAAAGAAATGTCCACTCTTATCACTACACAAAGAAATGTACACTCTCATCACTACAAAAAGAAATGTCCTCTCTTATCACTACACAAAGAAATGTCCACTCTTATCACTACACAAAGAAATGTACACTCTCATCACTACAAAAAGAAATGTCCTCTCTTATCACTACACAAAGAAATGTCCACTCTTATCACTACACAAAGAAATGTCCACTCTTATCACTACACAAAGAAAATTAAATGTCTACTCTTATCAATACACAAAGAAATGTCCACTCTTATCACTACACAAAGAGTGCGTAAGACTCAACGATTAGATACGGTCACCTTATCTTTATAGGAAGTAATAAACGGTTGGGCAATCATTTTATGTCAAAATACAATCATTCTGCTTCTATGTAGCAGTAGCAGGCTCGTATAACTTTGATTGTCTTTGTAAATATAGTCAGATTGTATTGTCACAGAAGATAGTAGTGTTAACTATGTGCAACGTACAATTAACACTAAACAATTCATCCGTAATATCTAATCATCATCACCAAATGTCATCTGTAACATACAATCATCATCACCAAATGTCATCTGTTTCATACAATCATCATCACCAAATGTCATCTGTAACATACAATCATCACCACCAAATGTCATCTGTAACAAAATCAACACCACCAAATGTCATTTGTAAGATACAATCAACACCGAAAATGTCATTTTTAAGATGCAATGGAAAATTTTAAAAATGAGCACCTCTCCATGAACAAATAAATTAAATATGATCATGTTGGATGGAAGCTCTTTATGAAAAAGTAGTGAAATAAGCTTATATTGGCATTTATTGGATAGAGTCTCCCTATGAACAAATAATCTTACAGGCTTATATTGGATAGATGCTCCTTATAAACAAATAATCTTACAGGCTTATATTGGATAGATGCTCCCTATGAACAAACAATCTTACAGGCTTATATTGGATAGATGCTCCTTATAAACAAATAATCTTACAGACTTATTATATTGGATAGATGCTCCCTATGAACAAATAATCTTACAGGCTTATAGATGCTTCATATGAACAAATAATCTTACAGGCTTATATTGGATAGATGCTCCCTATGAGCAAATAATCTTACAGGCTTATATTGGATGGTTGATAATGTTGAAAGTTACCGTAATTTAATTAATACAAATGTTTGTTCCGTATTCAGTCCTCGCCCACAATTTCTATTAGAGTTGATGGCCTTCTTACTACGGGAGATCATATAAAAAAATATTTGACTACGAATCAAAGGGCGTGATCTTAGCTCGGGCGCCCCTATCGTATTTGTGTAATTAAACGCCACCGGCGCCACCGCACACTGTACAACCTTTTAAGCCAAGTCTTACCACTACGACACGGTGTATACTTTCCCCAGCCCCCTTTCTTAATAGTAATAGTCTTTATCGGAACTTACGCCTCAGCCATTGGAAAGTCTTATTTCTATATCTACCATAACAAAATAAACGTATCCCAATCAGAAGGACATAGTTATCACTATACACATTTATCACAGCAGCTAAACAAAAGAATACTTGGACGTCTCTAGGTCTTTAGCCGCACCAACACGCTGTTGACGTAATCTAATCCCATTGAAACCACGCTGCCGCCTCACCACAACAACAGTGAACTTGATCTGTGGCCAGAGGAGTTGTGTGACAGGACTTATTTTGAGTACCGTGCTGTACCTCTCTGGGTTCACGGGCCGGCCAGCGGGACGACGGGAAAGGCAAGCCAGGAGAGCGTTGGAGATCAGTTATCTGATTACCAAACTCGCGACAGACTTACACTTACAGGGTCACAAAAACATAATTGAAGTGTGATAGATAATATAGACTGCCACTGTTATCAACACGGCTTTACGGGGAGATTAAACTGCTTAGGACTTAAGGTCGTCTGACTTTAGATGTGTACATAATATAAGTCAGTCAATGATCTAGTACATCAAAAAAGTACAACCTATTCATTTTCCCCTGTCTACGATTTTTACACATTACTTAAGTCAACGAATGTCTTCAACCCAATAATATTATTATCTTAAAATAAAGGAGGCACCTGATATGTATATATATATATATATATATATATATATATATATACTGCTTCTGGTGTGTCTTGCTTCCTTTTCACATTTTCTCAACCGGCCCTCCCCTACTCAACATGTCTTATACAGACTTTGTAAAAAAAAAGCTGTGAACAGCGAGCGTCTTGCGTGACGGTTGAACTCGAGTAAAAAAGGTTTAATTTTTTTAGGAGGAGACGATTATATTAAACAATAAAGAGCCAATGGTGTGGTGAAGGACTCTCTGTAGGACCGACCATCTGTAGGACTGTCTGTAGGCCTATTGTATAAAGGCTGGCATATATTATTGAAAATGAAAAGTTAACTTTTTTTTTGTAACTCTCGGACCCAACGGGTATTTTCTCAAAATACCAAGAGCAGGGGTAAAAAAATGTACCCGGTTAAGTCCCAGTAAATAATCTTCTGTTATGGACCAATAGGATCATGCTTGGAGTGAATCAAACATCTAGAACCTGTCGTCATTTAGATCAACCCAAACGTTCCACCGCAATCTTTCGATATTTAGACTTAGAAGAGACGACCATCAAAGGTGAAACTCAAGGAAATGTTAAGAATAGGACTCCGATTAAGAGAGCTCTTCTTGTGATAGTGATCAATTAGGAATGTGGGTGGTTTCTAAAGATTGCTCATTAGTGTTTACCTTATTTCCTGACACCAGAGGTGCGGATGTGGCAATTCACACACACACTAACACACACACTCCACCAGTGGTACTTTTTGGTGGGCGGCAACTTGCTATAACAACCACACAAAAAAAGGTTTTTGCCTTAATAATAGGAGGATACAATAGATAGGGCCCACATTTATTTTTCCATGAAAAACGATAACCAATGGTCCAGAAATTGTGGCCATGCTCTTGGCAATTAGCTTGAACCTAAATAAACACAGTAGCTATATAGTACTTAAAGAATAAGTAGGTCTACGTTCAAGTAAATAAAGAATATGTAGCTCTACGTTAATATCTCAAGAACATCAACCAAACGTACTGACTCTTGTCCACGAACTAATATTAACAAGCCCATAGGTTAGGATGACCGAATCATGAACTGGAAAAAAACGGGACAGATCCAAGGAGGGTGGGGGGGGGGATACCCTCTAACTAAAGAGTGGTCCGGGGGCCTCCGCCGGAAACTGTTTCTTGAAATATGCTAATTTTAACTATTTTGAGACCTAGAAATCTTATTAAATTTACCTTCACTTTTTTAAAATTTAATTTAAACTCTGAGGCATATCATAAACGAAAACAACAATTTTGCAGTGAATACTTATTTATTTATACATATAAGATCTATGGCAGGGACACTGTCGTTTACGCAGGGTCGGCAGAGTGGTGGAAAAAAGGGGGGGGGGGTACAGGGCAGCCATCACGCGAGCCCACATCACAATAAACGAAAAAAACAATTTTGCAGTGAATACTTATTTATTTATACATAGAAGAGCTATGGCAGGGACGCTGTCGTTTACGCAGGGTCGGGAGAGTGGTGGAAAAAAGGGGGGGGGGGTACAGGGCAGCCATCACGCGAGCCCACATCACTACTGTCACTGGCTACACAGCTAGCTAAAATATTGCTTGAAGTTATATTATAAATTAGGAAGTTTTAGGGATTTGGTGGGGGTTGGTAACGCAACACCTTTCCCCCGGAGTGGAAGCAAAGCCGTTCTGATCCACGGAGAGTTGACCGCGAACGCTTTAAACGCAGCGTTTTATGTCGACCGGACGTCCCCCAGGCCAGGGGGGAGGTTCCCAACGTGCTTCCGTATGGTCTGGCGGCAGGGAGACCCAGCGTCTGGCCCGTGTGAAGGTGTGCCGGGGGGGGGGTTATCATGAGCTCGCGCTCGACGACCCACCGACGCCATCTCCAATGTGACGTTATTAGTGATTTGAAAATGTGTTTGGTTTTAGAAACAGGACATTTAGGTGTCCCGAGAGCAAAATGGGGCAGCTCTAGAGACAATTGAGGCTTACAAGGACGACATTTCTTTATTTATTTATTTAGGGATTTTTATCTAGCGCTTACCTTAAAGCTGTAAGCGCTTCACAATTATTAACAACATGTACATTATTTAAACTGCTAAAGTAACATACAAATAAAAAAAACAGAGACACTAGAATAGTAACAACTATGTTAAAAATGACTATAGGAACAGTAGCTTAAACATTAAAATGGCTATATACTTTGGCACGTTTTGGCCTATACTACAGGATCAACCCGAGACAGAAAATAAGTCTTTACAGTCTTTACAGACGGCTCCTATCTCGCCAGCGAGCGGGCAGGCTACGGCGCACTAATACAGTATCCAAAGGGGGTACCTACAGCAGAGGAGATTTCAGGCCCAAGCGGCACAAATAGCTCTGCAACTGACACAGAAGTCGAAGGTATTTTAATGGGCTTGAAACAAGTGCGTCGACGGCTAGCCAGACGAAAAACACTTAATTCCATCGCAGTGTTCACCAATTCACAATATGCTCTAGAAATTGTGAAACGGTGCTCCTTGGACACGAAGATGGCACAAGCAATACTGGAGCTCGTACGAGACATACGGTCTCACGGAGGCACGGTGACCCTCCAATGGATCCCGGTACACGCGGGGATCCCCCCTCAAGACAGAGCTGACTATATTGGGAAACAAGGCTCTTCCAAGCCTCAACCTAACCGACCAATGACCCAACTGATATTGACGTGGCCAGGTATCCACTGTATTATCACCTTGCCCCCTAGTTCACCAATTTTGCACACGTCGTTGGTAATGACGTCGACCAAGTGTGTGGTACTTTGTCTCTTCCCAAAATGTCGACAGCAGATCTTGAGTAGACAACTACATCAAGCCCCGCATGTTCCGTCCCTTTCAATGTGTCATGAATTCTCTCCAAGGCCCTGTGTATAGCTATGAGCTCCGCATCAAAATTTGATGCTGCAGTCCCACAGGGCCCCGAGAGCTCTTCTGTTGGTGGTCCTCCCGCTGGGTACAGTTTGAGCGCACCGTACCCAGCAGTTCTTTCTCTCAAGTTGGCAGAGCCGACCGTGAACACTTTCACTGGTGGTGGGGGAGGCGGCACTTGGTGAGGGTACCCCTCCGAATATATACCACTAGTTACATCAAGTTTGTCGGACATTTGAGAAAAGAGTTAACAAGTAAATGAAGCAGAGAATGTGTTGAAAATTCCTCACATATCAAACGAGCTGACACCTCGGGTGGACAGACGACATGCACCTTAAGTTAGTGTTCACCGGATACAGACACTGTGGCACTCTGGGTCACCTAAAAAAAATAGTCATGGAAGGTTAAAATTGTGTCTTCCAATGTACAAGTTTGACGATGTCTTCCTTGATGATTGGAGCTGTTTGAAGTGTGTTTACATATAATCCTGTGGAGAAACTTAACTGACGACCTGAAATGGCCATATAAAGATCAAAACAATACGGCCCTGTAGGCCGTGCTTGTCCAGTGTAATTCTCCACCAGCTAGATGGCGTTTCTTGACCCCCAGCACTACACCATCATGCATCAGTTTACCACCAGCAGACGTGAGAGACTTGTTCCAAGGCTGGCACGGTACTTACACACTTGACAACAAACGGAAACGAGACGCTTATACTGTCTGCGACATTCAAGTGGTGTGTCACTGCACTGCACGGTGACAACACAGGGATCTAACTGGGTCATGGTGCTCCAAAACTGCACATACCAGCCACGTACACAGACACACTGTCACTGCAAGTCATGTACACACACATGAACTTTAACCAGGAGTGACTAAGATACACAAGCTAAAACTACAGGTCATGCACACACAAACTATCACATCAAGTAACGAACCAATTGTCACAGCTCATTACGAATAAACTGTCACTGAACGTTATGGAAAAACTGTCACTTCAAGTTATGAACACAAAAACTGTCACAGAAAATTACGAACAAGCTGTCACAGCAAGCTAAGGAATAACTGTAACTGCAATTTATGAACAAAATATTACTGCACGTTATGAACAAACTGACAATGCAAATTACGAATAAACTGTCACTGCGAGTAATGAACTAATTGTCACTGCAAGTTATACACACTCAAACTGTCTCCTGAGAGTAACGAACACGCGAACTATAATGATGTACGTTCTGACATCATCTGACAATGACTGCCGTGTACAATTTGAACTGACGCGTTGAGACAACAAGCAGTTTCAATGTAAGTTGACATGTCACCACAGAGTGTCTTTCCAGCAAAAGTCGTGTCTAAATAAAACAATACATACAGTTATGTCAAATGTTCATACAGCGAGAGACTTGGAGTTTATAACTTCATAGAAATTATATGTGGGATTAACTTTGGAATACAGTTGTTGTTGTTGTTTTGTTTTTTTTGGTTTGTTTTTTTATTCGGGGTTTTCTGGAATTTAAAACCTGTTTTCTAGTATGACACAATGACGTCCTATTTTTGTGGTGCCACATGTTTGGCCCCCAAGGTCACACAGTGCATCTCATCTGACTGTACTAAGTAGGGGCATACTACAGGCCCTAGCGTAGGAAAGGGGGGAGTGGGGAAGGGCCTCTCCAGGCGGCACTTACTTTTTCTAAATATTGAGGGGAGGCATGTATGGCCTAATGCAGGTATTTCTGGGGGAGTGGGGGGCGTAAATAAATCTAGGCTCCGCCTGTGCGGCACATACTATAATCTAGCTGCGCCAGAGCTCCGCAACCGGTGTGTCGCGCGACGATGCTAGGTGTGCCGCTGCTAAATAACTCCAAGATGATGAACATCATGCAAAGCCAATATAAATTTGTTGAAAAAAAAAAAACAATGATTGGCTGAGCTGTCAAATGATTGGCTAAATAACGAGCTGTCATATGATTGGCTAAATAACGAGCTATCAGATTACTGGCTAAATAACGAGCTATCAGATTACTGGCTAAATAACGAGCTATCAGATTACTGGCTAAATAACGATCTTTCATATGATTGGCTAAATAACGAGCTGTCAAATGATTGGCTAAATAACGAGCTGTCAAATTATTGGCTAAATAACGAGTTGTCAAATGATTGGCTAAATAACGAGCTGTCAAATGATTGGCTAAATAAAGAGCTGTCAAATGACTGGCTAAATAACGAGCTGTCAAATGATTGGCTAAATAACGAGCTGTCAAATGATTTGGCTAAATAACGAGCTGTCAAATGATTGGCTAAATAACGAGCTGTCAAATGATTGGCTAAATAACGAGCTGTCAAATGATTTGGCTAAATAACGAGATAACATTTCATGATACTACCGAGATGACATTTCATGATACTACCGAGGTAACATTTCATGATACTACCGAGGTAACATTTCATGATACTACCGAGGTAACATTTCATGATACTACCGAGAAAACATTTCATGATACTACCGAGGTAACATTTCGTGATACTACCGAGGTAACATTTCATGATACTACCGAGGTAACATTTCGTGATACTACCGAGATAACATTTCATGTTACTACCGAGATAACAATTCATGATACTATCGAGATAACATTTCATGATACTACCGAGATAACAATTCATGATACTACCGAGATAACATTTCATGATACTACCGAGATAACAATTCATGATACTACCGAGATAACATTTCATGATACTACCGAGATAACATTTCATGATACTACCGAGATAACAATTCATGATACTACCGAGATAACATTTCATGATACTACTGAGATAACAATTCATGATACTACCGAGATAACATTTCATGATACTACCGATATAACAATTCATTATACTACAGAGATAACAATGCATGATACTACCGAGATAACATTTCATGATACTACCGAGGTAACAATTCATGATGCTACCGAGATGTAGCAGGCCTTAACATAGCAATTAAGTATTAGCAGCATTATCAGGTCAGAACTTGCATTTAGGGCACAGTCGTCAAGAAACAAGATGTCTCGAATAACTGTTTCCTTTATTTTCGCAATGGCTTGCAGTGTCCTAAGATTAAATAGACCCCCGCCTTTAAAGAATGCCGCCATAATTGTCAAGGAAAGCATCTGTCAGCATTGCCAAGAATGTTATGCTATTTAGACAAGCCTCCAAAAAAAAGAGTATATATTTTTTAACTTTTTTTTAGCTGGTATCTGTTTGTCCCAATGTGGCGATGGTTCCCCAATGTAACGATGGTGCCCCAATGTGACGATGGTGCCCCAATGTGACGATTGTGCCCCAATGTGACGATGGTGCCCCAATGTGACGATGGTGCCCCGTGTGACGATTGGTGTCCCAATGTGGCGAGGGTGCCCCAATGTGACGATGGTGCCCAATGTGACGATGGTGCCCAATGTGACGATGGTGCCCAGTATGACGATTGGTGCCCCAATGTGGCGAGGGTGCCCCCATGTGACGATGGTGCCCAATGTGACGATGGTGCCCCAATGTGACGATGGTGCCCCGTGTGACGATTGGTGCCCCAATGTGGCGAGGGTGCCCCGATGTGACGATGGTGCCCAATGTGACGATGGTGCCCAATGTGACGATGGTGCCTCAATGTGGCGATGGTGCCCCAATGTGGCGAGGGTGCCCCAATGTGACGATGGTGCCCAATGTGACGATGGTGCCCAATGTGACGATGGTGCCCCAATGTGGCGATGGTGCCCCAATGTGGCGATAGTGCACCCAATGTGGCGATGGTGCCCCAATGTGACGATGGTGCCCCAATGTGGCAATGGTGTGACTTCGCAGGAGGAAATAACAAGTCCTGGGATTTGTTCTTTAAGACTATAAGTTTGCTCCCTAGACAGCAAATCGCCCCTCTTCACGCCCAAGGGAACACCATAAATGGAGGATACAGCTTGGTGCTTTTTATTATAAATCAGTGGTTCTTAACCTTTTTGGACGTACCAAACCCCACCAGTTCCATATGCGCAATCACCGAACCCTTCCTAATAGGAAAAATAAAATATGATTTTTTAAAAAAAAGATTTTTGGGACCTCCATCGAACCCCTGAGACTGACTCACCGAACCCCTGGGGTTCGATCGAACCCAGGTTAAGAACCACTGTTATAAATAATTTATTGGCATTTCTATTTGCATTTATGTAATTTTTCGTGATTTATCATTTATGCAAATTGTAGCAACTGATTTTTTAGGAAGAGGGTGGTTTTCATTCAACTTAGTGCATGTCAAACCTATTAGACTAGAGCTATGTTTAAACCTAATTGCGTCGCAATTACAAAGTACATAGCAACAGCTACACAATTAATCTCCACACCAAATCACGCACCCATTGAACAAATCCTATTCCTCCCATCTTCCCCCTAAAAAAACAGGAAAAAATTTATTCAGGGGATTGTTGTAGGAGGGTGGGCGTGAAAATTCGAAAGAAAGTGTTGTCATCGGCAACAAGTCTAAGTGCCGAGTTTCAGCACGATAGGATGACAGGAAGTGGGTCATTAAGCCTTCCGAAGATTTTTTCACAAAAACAAGAAAACAAGAAAGTTTTGGAGCTAGAACACAGCCTTATTTTACGCCATCAGTTGCTGAAAAAGGCACAGACTTATACCAAGAATCCACCACCCTAGCCATCATATCATCATAATATCACCCTAGCCATCATACCCTCATGATATCACCCTAGTCATCATACCATCATGACATCACCCTAGCCATCATACCATCATGACATCACCCTAACCATCATATCATAAAGACATCACCCTAGCCATCATATCATCATGACACACCCTAACGATCATATCATCATAACATCACCCTAGCCATCATACCATCATGACATCACCTTAGCCATCATACCAGCATGACATCACCCAAGCCATCATATCATCATAGCATCACCCTAGCCATCATACCATCATGACATCACCCTAGCAATCATATCATCATGACATCACCCTAACCATCATATCATCATGACGTCACCCTAGCCATAATGTCATCATGGAGTTGGCGTACTAATTGTAATAAATCTACTCGGGCAGCCAAGCTTCACCATTATCTTCCACAGGCCGCCTCGACTGACTAAGTCCTTCCACAGGCCACCTCGACTGACTAAGTCAAACGTCTTGGTCAGATCAACTGTGTTAGACGCACACACACACACACACGCAGACGACAGTGGACATTCCTTTTTTTTTTTGTTTTTTTTTTTATTAATTCAGTTTTAAAGCCTCACTGACAGAGCAAAACTCACCTATTAACATCACCCTAACCATCATATCATCATGACGTCACCCTAGCCATAATGTCGTCATGGAGTTGGCGTACTAATTGTAATAAATCTACTCGGGCAGCCAAGCTTCACCATTATCTTCCACAGGCCGCCTCGACTGAGTAAGTCCTTCCACAGGCCACCTCGACTGACTAAGTCAAACGTCTTGGTCAGATCAACTGTGTTAGACGCACATACACACACACACGCAGACGACAGTGGACATTCCTTTTTTTTTTTTGTTTTTTTTTTTATTAATTCAGTCTTAAAGCCTCCCTGACAGAGCAAAACTCACCTATTTAGTTAGTCATTCACTAAGTACATCGCGTTGTTACCGGATATTTGTACGAAAAAGAAATGTGTTAGCCGTTAAATTGTTCTACGGAAGTTTCTGCAAACGAAAATTTGTTCGAACTTTTGGAATTTTGTTCGAAATGTAATAATGTGGGGGGGTGGGGGGGTGGACAAAAATAGATTTTATTAACAAGTTTACATTTTCTCGCTCGCAACCACCTTAAAGAAAACATTATTTTTATTTTTTTAATTATATTTATAAATAGATCTCTGTCTAACAAAAACACATTGTACTTTTCAACTCGCTCAGCACAATAAGATTCCTGGCTTTAGGAGACGCGGGTGTTCCTGTAAGTAGAGAATTATTTCTGTAACTAGAGCTATCCCTTATCAAAGACTTACCAGAACGCATGGCAGCCAATTTCTGTTTTAAGCTCTGCACTTGGTCTAGGACGCCTGAGCCGTTGAGACTCCCGCCCACGTTGGTATTCAACTGGGGTCTTCGCGTGTCGAGCTCTGCCTCATCCGCCGGGGGTCCCACCTTGATGCTGCCGACGCTGTTCGATCTGAGGATGCCGACGCTGATAAGCTTCCTGGAACCGTAATCCCTGTTGGGTATGAGTAAAGTGCTTTGTGAGCTCACGAAATAGTCCTTGGCTACCTTGGCCGCATCCATACTGGAGAGCAGTACTAATGTCAAGCAAGATTACCGCACAATTTGCACAAAAAGCATGGTGTGTTCCACTGCCCACTCAAGAGTAATACTTGCGCCACTATGGTAAGTTGTACTAAAGTTCTAGTTCAGTGATGACATGTCTCCATTATTAACCCTTTTTCCGAATGAGCCTTATTGCATCAGGGCTTCGAGTTGTTTTACTTTTGTCAGGAAGCCAAACTCTTGCGCTTAGATAAGGTGTCGGGCAAAGCCCATAGATAAGTTATTAGGTCATCTGCGTTTCAACCGGAAACTTTGCTGACTATTTGGATCCCCTTTCATAAAGGAAACTTTGCTGATTATTTGGATCCCCTTTCATAAAGGAAACTTTGGCCAAAGATGTTTTTCAAAAATAATCGCAGAGATAATACCGATTTGCCAAGCTAAGAGTTCCCGGGTTACTGTATGTATGGCGTGCGTGCCAACCTAGAGTTCCCGGGTTACCGTATGCCAACCTAGAGTTCCCGGGTCACTGTATGTATGGCGTGCGTGCCAACCTAGAGTTCCCGGGTGCTTAAATGTTAACATAAAACTGACTGACTATAGAAAACTGCAGGCGTGGAAAACATTCTTAACCCCCCCCCCGCCCCCCGACCGAAAAACGATGCTGCTGGGTGTTGTCCATGGCTTGACATGTAAATAGCTTTCAATATAAGTTGTTGGTTTTTTTTAAATTCAATTAATGTATCTTTAATTAATTTTTAAAGTTCTTGATTATGTTTGTTAAATTGCATGCACAGCGTTTTGAGCCCAGCCCCAGGCTGGGGTAGCACGCTATATAAAACTACTTATAATAATAATACTATTTTGAGTGTGTGTGTATGCGTGTGTGGTGTGGGTGGGTGTGGGTGGGTGTGAGTGGGTGGGTGTGTAGCCAGTGCCAGTAGTGATGTGGGCTCGTTGTGTAGCCAGTGCCAGTAGTGATGTGGGCTCGTTGTGTAGCCAGTGCCAGGAGGGATGTGGGCACGTTGTGTAGCCAGTGCATGGGGTGTGGGTGGGTGTGGATGTGTGTTGGGTGTGTGTGGGGGTGGGTGGGTGTGGGTGTGGGGTTGTGGGTGTGGGTGTGGGTATGTGTGTGTGTGTGGGTGTGTGTGTGGGTGTGTGCGTGTGTGCTTGTTTATACTTTATACGGACATTAATTAGCAGCGTCTTTATCGGACTACAAGGGGTTAATATGCAAGTCTGTGAATCACTGGAATAGTGAAAATTAAAATGTTAACTTATTTACAGTCGATAAGGGAACTTTACAAGACTTAAGAGGACCAAGATAAGGCAATCACAGTTGAGAGGTTGTTAGATAAGGCAATCACAGTTGAGAGGTTGTAAGATAAGGCAATCACAGTTGAGAGGTTGTAAGATAAGGCAATCACAGTTGAGATGTTGTAAGATAAGGCAATCACAGTTGAGATGTTGTAAGATAAGGCAATCACAGTTGAGATGTTGTAAGATAAGGCAATCACAGTTGAGAAGTTGTAAGATAAGGCAATCACAGTTGAGAGGTTGTAAGATAAGACAATCACAGTTGAGAGGTTGTCATTTACACTCAACTGTATTAAGATATGTGGAACCAAGGGGATAGCCGGTTGAGTAGGATAGTCGGAATTAGGAGGATGGTCGGAATGAGGAGGAAAGTTGGAATGAGGAGGATAGTTGGAATGAGGAGGATAGTTGGAATGAGGAGGATAGTTGGAATGAGGAGGATAGTCGGAATGAGGAGGAAAGTCGGAATAAGGAGGATAGCCGGAAATAAGGAGGATAGTCGGAATGAGGAGGATAGCCGGACTGAGTAGGATAGTAGGAATGAGGAGGATAGTAGGAATGAGGAGGATAGTTGGAATGGGGAGGGTAGTAGGAATGAGGAGGATAGTAGGAATGAGGAGGATAGTTGGAATGAGGAGGATAGTCGGAATGAGGAGGATAGTTGGAATGAGGAGGATAGTAGGAATGAGGAGGAAAGTCGGAATGAGGAGGATAGCCGGACTGAGTAGGATAGTAGGAATGAGGAGGATAGTAGGAATGAGGAAGATAGCCGGACTGAGTAGGATAGTACGAATGAGTAGGATAGTAGGAATGAGGAGGATAGTTGGAATGGGGAGGATAGTAGGAATGAGGAGGATAGTTGGAATCGGGAGGATAGTAGGAATGAGGAGGATAGTAGGAATAAGGAGGATAGTTGGAATGGGGAGGATAGTAGGAATGAGGAGGATGGTTGGAATGAGGAGGATAGTCAGAATGAGGAAGATAGTTGGAATGAGGAGGATAGTAGGAATGAGGAGGATAGTTGGAATGAGGAGGATAGTAGGAATGAGGAGGATAGTCAGAATGAGGAGGGTAGTCAGAATGAGGAGGATAGTCAGAATGAGGAGGATAGTAGGAATGAGTAGGATAGTCAGAATGAGGAGGATAGTTGGAATGAGGAGGATAGTAGGAATGAGGAGGGTAGTCGGAATGAGGAGGATAGTCGGAATGAGGAGGAAAGTCGGAATGAGGAGGATAGCCGGAAATAAGGAGGATAGTCGGAATGAGGAGGATAGCCGGACTGAGTAGGATAGTAGGAATGAGGAGGATAGTAGGAATGAGGAGGATAGTTGGAATGGGGAGGGAAGTAGGAATGAGGATGATAGTAGGAATGAGGAGGATAGTTGGAATGAGGAGGATAGTCGGAATGAGGAGGATAGTTGGAATGAGGAGGATAGTAGGAATGAGGAGGAAAGTCGGAATGAGGAGGATAGCCGGACTGAGTAGGATAGTAGGAATGAGGAGGATAGTAGGAATGAGGAAGATAGCCGGACTGAGTAGGATAGTACGAATGAGGAGGATAGTAGGAATGAGGAGGATAGTTGGAATGGGGAGGATAGTAGGAATGAGGAGGATAGTAGGAATGAGGAGGATAGTCAGAATGAGGAGGATAGTCAGAATGAGGAGGATAGTTGAAATGAGGAGGATAGTAGGAATGAGGAGGATAGTTGGAATGGGGAGGATAGTCGGAATGAGGAGGATAGTAGAAATAAGGATAGCCAGAAGGATGATAGCTGGAATGAGTAGCTAAGTCAGAAGGAGACAGTCGGATCCAGACTGTGTGTGAAACATTCTTAATGCCGCCTTCGCATCCCAATATGAACGGTCGTTGTGACATTTCCTGGATTAGACTTTCTTGAACCGCCCCTGGCGGCGCTTACCCTAGCTACGCCACTGCGACATATTTATATAAAGGACCGGCCTTAGCCATTCTGGCGGCCCTGGCAGTTATAAGTTTTGGTGCCCCTACCTCATATACTAATGTTTACAGTTCGTGCGCAATGTCGAGAAGCATACTGACGATTATTAAGAAAAAAGAGCCCTAAATTTAAACTTCTAAATAAATCTAGTCATGCAGACCAGAGAATGGGAGTCGCTTAGTCGATTGATTTGTCACGTGATGTGAGTAAAAACAAGTAAGACTTCCGGTAGGCTGTATACAACACACTAGTGCTTGACAACAGTAGCCCGATACACACTACAACCACACTACATTTCGTCCAATGAAAATTAACAATAAAATAAACAAAGGGGAATGACTACGGCAACAATATTGTATAAACACGCAAATGACGTCATGGGCACGCACGGAGCTCAACAACATCCTGCCGAAAATAGTATTGATAGTTCCCATCTGCCCATCGAATATCGCTCACACATTTCTCTTGAAATAACTTTCTTCCTTTAATCATAACTGACGTATATTTATTGTCCCATTTATGTATTTCATTAAAAAAATGCGTGTATTCCAGAATATTTCGAAAGGTAAAATTTTTAAGTAACATGACATTGGGGAAGCACTGATGAAGTATCTTTTGTTGTTTGTAGCAGCCTAGTGATGGCTTACTCTCATCACGTGACCAAACAAGGAAGTGACTAAGCGACTCCCATTATACGAAATTTGTAATAAGCAAAACATGTTACATGTGTTAGTAAATAGCAACTGGATATTAAGAGTGACCGCCCTTATATATATTTTATTTAAAAAAACGTCTCGTTGGTTTTAAAGAGTGTACACATTTTCCAAATAGATCAGCCGTAGATGACGTCAGCAGTTTAAACATTTTGACCTTATAGGAGCGCGCCAAGTTGGCCTGAAGCAACATGTAACAAAATGCATTAACTCTCAAATGTCGTTAAATCACGCCCCTTCTCCACGTGTTCGGGGGTGTTTGTGTGTGTGTGTGTGTGTACGAAAACCAAAAGACAGCATAGCCACCGCTGAGAGCCTTTCCTGGGTCAAACATGGTCTTAAACCTGTTTTAATCAATTTTAGTTTAGAAACAAATTCTTTCTCCATTTGCAACACTGACTGGAATATTCAGCAGGATTCAACGAGAAATCACCTGGCACAGTACTCGGGATGGGACAACAATCCAGACCTTGATTTGAGTGTCAAATAGAAGGCATTTCTTTGCCGCACGTTTGCAGAGAAGCATAATATTATGCACACAAGAAATTATTTTTTCACAAAAAATACTGAGATATTCCGATATGTTTCCAAATATTTTTTTATCTGTACATTTTTTTCAACACTTCCTTACGACATGTTTGTAATCCTTGAGAAGGTTGGTGCTGTCTTGTGTCAGTAGCTCATACCTCTCTGTCGAAGATTTGATAGCAGTATCAACTATGACAGTATCACCTATGGCAGTATCAACTATGGCAGTATCAACTATGGCAGTATCAACTATGACATCATCAACTATGACAGCATTAACTATGAAAGTATGAACTATGACAGCTTCAACAATGACAGTATCAACAATGACAGTTTCAACTATGAAAGTATCAACTATGAAAGTATCAACTATGAAAGTTTCAACTATGACAGTATCAACTATAAAGTATCAACTATGACAGTATCAACTATGACAGTATCAAATACGACAGTATCAACTATGACAGTATCAACTATGACAGTATCAACTATGACATTTAAAATTTCAACACGATAACATACTTTGGAATCTTCAATATATTAGATTCATAATCCATCTGCCCTCCCTTGGGAGGAACTCTTCACTTTGATTTAGTTTCCTTGGGAGGAACTCTTCACTGTGATTTAGTTTCCTTGGGAGGAACTCTTCACTGTGATTTAGTTTCCTTGGGAGAAACTCTTCACTGTGATTTAGTTTCCTTGGGAGGAACTCTTCACTGTGATTTAGTTTCCTTGGGAGAAACTCTTCACTGTGATTTAGTTTCCTTGGGAGGAACTCTTCACTGTGATTTAGTTTCCTTGGGAGGAACTCTTCACTTTGATTTAGTTTCCTTGGGAGAAACTCTTCACTGTGATTTAGTTTCCTTGGGAGAAACTCTTCACTGTGATTTAGTTTCCTTGGGAGGAACTCTTCACTGTGATTTAGTTTCCTTGGGAGGAACTCTTCACTGTGATTTAGTTTCCTTGGGAGGAACTCTTCACTGTGATTTAGTTTCCTTGGGAGGAACTCTTCACTGTGATTTAGTTTCCTTGGGAGGAACTCTTCACTGTGATTTACTTTGAACTTCTGGTCAAAGATCAGTCGATTCTGCAAGTTTCTTTTCTGATTTCCAGTAATATTTAAGTGCTGAAGACTTTGTCTTATGTGCTGAAAGACTTTGTCTTAAGTGCTGAAAGACTTTAGTGCTGAAAGACGTAGTCTCTGAATGTATTTAAAAAGTTAGTGCTTTTTCAATAAGTCTAAAAATCTTAAGAGTATTTTTTTTTAAAAATCGAATTAAAGGGAAAACAAATTAGTTGGAAAAAAAATATATTTACACACTATAATGACGTCACAGTCACACCCTCAACGATCTTATTCCTACGCGTTCCAATAGTGCACCTCCACCCATCGGCCCCCACTTTTTCTAAATAAATTCACTTTGACAATAAGTTCTTGTAATTCAAAGTATTGGTGCCAGTCAAAAAATTCTAAGCTTTCCAATAAATTTATCATCAATAAATACAGAGACAACATTTCAAACAAATGTGCTTTGTCATGCGCAATTATTTCATTTAAAAAGACCAGCTGTTAAACCATTGAGCCATTTAGTTGGTTGTAAAAAGGAATCGGCCTATCACCGAAGCATGATATTCTTCATTTGTTTAAAAGTTGATTTCTGTGAATTTAGTATGAAATGTTTTTGTTTAATATCAAAATGACGCCCCTAAACTTTGACGCCCCTAAACTTTGGCGCTCCAGGCAGTTGCCTGCTTTGCCTGAACCTAAGGCCAGTCCTGTTTATATATGTAGATATATCAACTTGCATGGGAGGGAATGGTCAGTCAGTCCCGGCCGGAACTTTATCTTTATATATATATATATATGTATATATATATATATATATANTATATATATATATATATATATATGAATGTATTTTTTATTATCTTATTGGTTTTGAATTTATTTACTGACGTTTGGCGAAAATACGATTTTAAACTGCGCATTTTATTAAGAAATTACATTGCTTTCAAACTGGCATGTCCGCCCTACGTCTGCTATACTCCTCAGGGGAGATCAATGGTGTATTCTATTTTATTGTTAAATTTAAACGGTCAGAGAGTGTTGTGAGGCGTCTCTATCTGTTTGACAAATCTACAGTTTTCTTTCCTGCAATCTCGGGCCATCTGACTGAAATGGTGGGCCTCTTTGCACAGCCACAGGTAGCAAGCCAAAAGTGAGAGAGAACGGCAGTTGTAGCCACTGGCTAAAAGAACCAGTCCCAAAATGTTAATGTTCAACAGCTATACCGGCGATTCAATTAAGGGCTGTATTAGGAATGTTGTTTCAACTACTCCTCGCCGTGACGTCAATCAGAAGAACATTTCCATAGTCGATTATTTTTAAATGAGCAAATTGATGTCCGGCAAGCTAAATATATATTTGTATATCAACATTGGATATCACTTCCATATATCAACAGGAGATAGCAATGGCTAAACATCAACAGGAGATAGAAATCCCATATATCAACAGGAGATATAACCAATATATAAAGAACATATCGTTCACTTTACGTTCTGAATGTCTTATCATAGTAAACATTGATTTATAGAAGTTATATACATCAACAGGAGATAGAACTTATATTTATCAACAGGGGATAGAATTTATCTATATATCAACAGGAGACATCGCTTATATCACTCAGATTCCGAAAAAGTTAACACTTTTATTCCAGCTTAATTAAAAACTGAGTGCGCGACTCCGATATTTGAAAAAAATAAGTTAGAGCTATTTTGAAATCTGCTGCATTTTTTTAAAGGTACTATAAATATGTCTGAACATATCAATATCCTTTGATGGTGTCAATTCCTATTTCGTTGTCTGACATAATAATAAAACGAATTATAACAGGACTGATAGTAAAGGTTTGATTGTACAAGGAGGATAGTATAAGAATGATTGTACAGGTCTGATTGTACAAGGAGGATAGTATAAGAATGATTGTATAGGTCTGATTATACGAGGAGGATAGCATAAGAATGATTGTACCGGTATGATTGTACAAGAATGATGGTAGCCCTATACGTCCAAGAGTTAGCAACCTATGATATGTTCCTATACAGATATTAAACAATGACACATTTCTACAGCTATTTAACCCCTGGGTGGCTGGGACTCGTTAACCTTGGGTGGCAACACATCTCAGAGAAGGCAAAGTCTGAAATCAAACCCGGAGATGGATTCCTGTAGGCGGTATGACAGTCCCACAATGAAAATTCCGACAACTCCTGCGACGTGGAAAGCAGAATGAGCACAGTGAGACACACAAGACACAGTGAGACACACAAGACACACTGCTGGTCATCTACTGCATCCTGGTTTATTTCCAGTTCTCTCGACTAAGTCTTGCCCTTGGACCAAGTAGTCAAGGGCGAGAGAGTGAGGCCGACGAATAGAGCAACTCTCCGTCACTTTAAACAAGATATAGCCAAGAACAAACAATAACTAATAAATAACCTATGGTCCATTCTTACAGTTATTAAAATATGGTATGCTAGGGCTTAACCAGATGCATTTTTTTAACCGTGCCCGTATTTTTTTTTAATAAAATACCTGGTGGGTCCAAGAGTTATCCCCCCCCCACCAAAAAAAAAAAAAAAAGAGTTAACTTCTCATTTTCTATAATATGCAACGAAATCTACTATTTTTTACCCTAGCCCGTATTTTTTTTAAAAAAAAAACCTGGGGGGTCCAAAGTTTACCCCCCCCCCACAAAAAAAAAAAAAAAGAGTTAACTTCTCATTTTCTATAATATGCAACGAAATCTACTGCCCTATGTTGCGGTGAGAGTGCATTGCCTTTGTATCAAGAAATAACCCACTGGTAGGAACAGGCAGTTGCCAGATCCCGGAATAAAGAGGACGTTGCACAAAAAACCCGTCGACATAGAAGATACTGTCGTTCTATTTGTAACAAAGACGAAACGACAGTCACAGTATAACGAAAATAGCAATAGCTTCCTGTACCAGGTTACTGAAAAAATTCACAGGCCCACACATGCCCGAAGTGAAAGGATGGACAGAGACAAAGTTCTGTGTGGTGTGCAGCCCCAGAACAAAGAGATGAACAAAGTGTCATTTAACCCACACAAAGAATCCTTTATAAAGAAGAAAAAAAACAATTCACCGGAGTTCAGACGTCGGGCAAGAAGCACGCTGCGTGGCAACCTTTTTTGCACTAAGGACTATTAATATAAAACATGTGGAGTTGGGGGAAGGGCGGTTTTGAAGAGGAAGCAGCACGCACCAGAAGAAAAAAAAAAAAATTAAAAAAAAAAAAAATTATATATATATATATATATATATAAGAGATTTCTACTGCTGTTTAACTATGGTATATTCAGACTGCTGTTAAATTATGGTATATTCCTACTGTTTTTGACTCATGGTATGTTCCGACTGCGGTTGAACTATGGTATATAAAATATAATATTCACAACACTCCAACGTATGTCATATCTTCACTTTAAGCAGCACATAACGTCACCATACTTTCAGAATGCCTTATCCCAGGCACCATTTGTTCCATGCCGGAGAGGTGCAAGTCTACGCTACACAGTCGAAATAAAACAGACATAACCTTTAGCAAACACCACATGAAAAGAATTAGCACAGCCAGCCATTTGCCGGACCCACAAGTTCGCTGTGTCCCAGGTCTATGATATGTGCCCCCCTGTCAGAAGGATGCGATGTAACTGTACACACATATCGCCCGCTTGTCGGTCTCCGTGATACATATTGCCACATAAAGGTAAGCGACTACAAAAGGGCGTGAATGAAATGGGGCGTGGAAGATGCGACTTTATTTATACGCAATGAAAGGGCGTTACCAGAGCTTAGTTAGGAGGGGGTGCTTTGGACAAAAAGTAATCCCTGTAGATTTTTAAAGGATAAAAGTTTTCAAAAACTCAAACGATCAAGCCCTGGGCGCACATTGAATGACCGCCACAAATGTGGTGGGGGTGGGAGGTCGATTTTCAAACGTACTTGTCAGTTTTTTCTGGTAACGGGATACCGCGCTATATATGAGCACTAATAACACTGATAAAAACTCTGTGTGGCAGTAACAACAATTGACACCCTGACTTTGTGGCAGTAACAACAATTGACACCCTGACTTTGTGGCAGTAACAACAATTGACACCCTGACTTTGTGGCAGTAACAATTGACACCCTGACTGTGTGGCAGTAACAACAATTGACACCCTGACTTTGTGGCAGTAACAACAATTGACACCCTGACATTGTGGCAGTAACAACAATTGACACCCTGACTTTGCGGAAGTAACAACAATTGAAACCCTGACTGTGTGGCAGTAACAGTAATCAACACCCCTGACTGTCTGACAGTAACAATTGACACCCTGACTGTGTGCCAGTATCATACAATTGACACCCTGACTTTGTGGCAGTAACAACAATTGACACCCTGACTTTGTGGCAGTAACAACAATTGACACCCTGACTTTGTGGCAGTAACAACAATTGACACCCTGACTGTGTGGCAGTAACAACAATTGACACCCTGACTTTGTGGCAGTAACAACAATTGACACTCTAACTTTGTGGCAGTAACAACAATTGACACCCTGACTTTGTGGCAGTGACAACAATTGACACCCTGATTGTGTGGTGGTGACAACAATTGACACCCTGACTTTGTGGCAGTAACAACAATTGACACCCTGATTGTGTGGTGGTGACAACAATTGACACCCTGACTTTGTGGCAGTAACAACAATTGACACCCTGATTGTGTGGTGGTGATAACAATTGACACCCTGACTTTGTGGCAGTAACAACAATTGACAGCCTGACTGTGTGGCACTAACAGCAATCAACACACTTGCTTAGTAGCAGTAACAACAATTGACACCCTGGACTGTGTGACAGTAACAACAATTGACACCCTGACTTTGTGGCAGTAACAACAATTGACACACTGATTGTGTGGCAGTAACAACAATTGACACCCTGACTTTGTGGCAGTAACAACAATTGACACTCTGACTTTGTGGCAGTAACAACAATTGACACCCTGACTTTGTGGCAGTAACAACAATTGACACCCTGACTTTGTGGCAGTAACAACAATTGACACCCTGGCTTTGTGACAGTAACAACTATTGACAGCCTAACTACGTTCCGGTGAGAATTGACACCCTTACGATGTGGCGCTGACAACAATTGACACCCTAACTGTGTGGTGGTGACAACAATTGACACCCTAATTGTGTGGCGTTGACAACAATTGACACCCTGACTGTGTGGTGGTGACAACAATTGACACCCTGATTGTGTGGTGGTGACAACAATTGACACCCTGACTTTGTGGCAGTAACAACAATTGACACCCTGATTGTGTGGTGGTGACAACAATTGACACCCTGACTTTGTGGCAGTAACAACAATTGACACCCTAACCGGCCCCGACCCTTGAAACATTTGAACTGGTGGGATCCCCCCTCCTTCACCCACCCCCCTCACACACCCACCCACCCTTCGAACTAGTAACTGCTACATGCCCCCACCCCTGCTCGAATACGAAGGTTTAGCATCATTATTGATATACATTACATGATCAAAATAATCCGAACTATTACCGTACGGACGAACCGAAGCAGACGGCCTTATTTCGATAGTGTGAGCTTTGTGGTATCGCCGCTACTCAATGCCATCACCCTGGGTTTTTACAAAGCGAAGTCCTTTTAATCAACACTTCTTCTTTTGAACACTGCACACTATAGTGGCATTCAGTAACATGCCCGCGTGGTTGGTCGTAAGGGCACCCGTAATCCAGTGTCGTGTGCCTGAGATTAGTGGCGCACCTTTATGGTACGTACGGGTTCGGTCGGTGGTTACAGTACATACCAGGGGTATTAGGTAACCTTGTTCAGTGTGCGTGCCCCCGCGCCCAATCACCAAAACTTTCTGGGCAGTATTTTAGTCACGTTCACCGAAATGTTAAGAAGCGTGTTGTTACTTTGGGACAAAGAATCCGTTATGGCTCATAAGTTGGTTCAATCAATTTTTATGTAAGCCATGAGTTATTATTGCAGATTTATGGACGGAATTTTCACATAAACATCGATCAGCGCAGAGGGTTCGGGGGGAAAAAAAGGAGGGGGGGGGTAGGCGGGAAGGGGCACTCAACCCGGGCGCCAACATCGGAGGGCAAGGGGGGGGGGCAAAATCGTCTATAGCGATGACCTGAAAAGTGAATTTAACGATAAAATCGCATGGAGCGACAAACTTATCTTTTGACTGGCCCGCCCCGAGCGACAATGTTCTTTATACATTGAAGGGTGTTTTTTCAGACTGCGCCCGGGGCGCCACTTCNTTTCACATAAACATCGATCAGCGCAGAGGGTTCGGGGGGAAAAAAAGGAGGGGGGGGGTAGGCGGGAAGGGGCACTCAACCCGGGCGCCAACATCGGAGGGCAAGGGGGAGGGGCAAAATCGTCTATAGCGATGACCTGAAAAGTGAATTTAACGATAAAATCGCATGGAGCGACAAACTTATCTTTTGACTGGCCCGCCCCGAGCGACAATGTTCTTTATACATTGAAGGGTGTTTTTTCAGACTGCGCCCGGGGCGCCACTTCTATCTCAGCACGGCCCTCGATAAGCCCAGTTAAACGCGTGGATATTTGTTGTCGCCCTTTGTTGATGGAATTCTAGCTGCCATATAAATTAAATGTCTATGGAGTAGCAATGTTAACATAACACTGACTAACTAGTGTCCATGTCTATGGAGTTGCATTGTTAACATAACACTGACTGACTAGTGTCCACGTCTATGGAGTTGCAATGTTAACATAACACTGACACTAGTGTCCACGTCTATGGAGTAGCAAAGTTAACATAACACTGACTGACTGGTGTCCACGTCTATGGAGTTGCAATGTTAAAATAACACTGACTGACTAGTGTCCACGTCTATGGAGTAGCAATGTTAACATAACACTGACTGACTATAGAAAACTGCAGATGTGGAAAACATTTAATAATACAGTCTTGTGCTTAGATATGAGCACTCACGCCAGCGAGCCAACAACATACATACGATTGAAGAGATACAAGCCAGCCGGCTAACAACTTATATAAGATTGAAGAGATACAAGCCATCAGGCCAACAACATATTATATAAGATTGAAAACTTTTAAGCCAGCAGACCAATAACATAATACATAATACATAAGTATGAAGACTTTCAAGCCAGTGTGACAACAACATATATAAGATTGAAGACTTTCAAGCCAGTGTGACAACAACATATATAAGATTGAAGACTTTCAAGCCAGTGTGACAACAACATATATAAGATTAAAGACTTTCAAGCCAGTGTGACAACAACATATATAAGATTAAAGACTTTCAAGCCAGTGTGACAACAACATATATAAGATTAAAGACTTTCAAGCCAGTGTGACAAAAAAATATATAAGATTGAAGACTTTGAAAGCATGTGTATTAACTGTCTAGTGAAGATCTGTTGCACTTTGCTTCCTTAACCATATTGACATCTCTTCCATTTCTACTGGACCGTCTAGTCAAGGCCTAGTGCACTATGCTTGCTTTATTTAACATACATCTCTTCTATTTCTACCTGACCGTCTAGTCAAGGTCTAGTGCAATATACTCGCTTTATTAAACAACAATCTCTTCTATTTCTACCCGACCGTCTAGTCAAGGTCTACTGCACTACGCTTGCTTTATTAAACAACATTCTCTTCTATTTCTACCTGACCATCTAGTCAAGGTCTAGAGCACTATACTTGCTTTATTAACCTTACATGAATCCTATTTCTGCATGACCGACTAGTCAAGATCTAGTGCACTATGGTTGCTTTATTAACCAAACATCTCTTCCATTTCTACTGGACCGTCTAGTCGAGGTCTAGTGCACTATGGTTGCTTTATTAACCAAACATCTCTTCCATTTCTACTGGACCGTCTAGTCGAGGTCTAGTGCACTATGCTTGCTTTATTAACCAAACATCTCTTCCATTTCTACTGGACCGTCTAGTCGAGGTCTAGTGCACTATGCTTGCTTTATTAACCAAACATCTCTTCCATTTCTACTGGACCGTCTAGTCGAGGTCTAGTGCACTATGCTTGCTTTATTAACCAAACATCTCTTCCATTTCTACTGGACCGTCTAGTCGAGGTCTAGTGCACTATGCTAACATCTCTTTCTATCTTCCGTCCCGGCTAGGTTCAGAAAGCGTGAGTCTAACCTTTGTAAAGCAATATTTCGGTGAGCCTTTGGTTCGGGTGCGTACGATGATAAGATGATTGCTCCGTCCGATGATAAGATGATTGCTCCGTCCGATGATAAGATGATTGCTCCGTCCGATGATAAGATGATTGCTCCGTCCGATGATAAGATGATTGCTCCGTCCGATGATAAGATGATTGCTCCGTCCGATGATAAGATGATTGCTCCGTCCGATGATAAGATGATTGCTCCGTCCGATGATAAGATGATTGCTCCGTCCGATGATAAGATGATGCTCCGTCCGATGATAAGATGATTGCTCCGTCCGATGA